TGGTGTGGCGACAGCACAGACTTACCCCTCCCGGTGTCTGCTCATGGACTGCGGGGTGACAGGGACACACCCTCAGGCACAGTTTCTTTCCATGTCAACCTGGCTGGCTCCCAGGATAAACTAGTGACCTTCAGGTGGTTACCCCACAGAAGGCTCCTGGTAAAAACCTGAACTTAGGTCTGGGGCCGACTCCTGGTTTGCTCTCTGAACCGCCCTTCAGCCCCAAGCACCTCCACCCCGTTCCTCGTTGAGGGGAGACAAGCACCACGTGGGGTACGGGGTGGGGACAGCAAAGCTCTCAGAGGCAGAGGCTGGGCAGTCAGGCCCTGCACCGCCAGCCGGTGACCCTGCACAGACCACTCAACCTCGCCGAGCCTCAGTTTCCTCCTCTGCTAAATGGGACCATGACAACTGCCCAGCTTGCTTGGGCCTGGAGGGAGGATTCCTTGCATCAAAAACGTCGCCTCCCCACCCTTCTTTCCCCGGCGCCTAGAACTCTGGTGTCCTACGTCTCTGACGAGGACGTGCGGGGCTCTGTAATGTCAAGGCCGACAGGACTGGGAGGCAGTCTTACTATTGTGAATCACAGTTCAGGTGCCCACTGAACAGAATGTCCTCAGTTAAGCCACAGTCAGGTAAGTCTGGGCACGTAATTCAGTCCGGGAGGTGATCCTTACCCTGGCAGAGGCTCGCAGAAGCAGCCACAAGGATGGTTAAATCCTCTCACATAACCCGGCCTCGGGGGACAGGATGAATACTCCACATGGGTGGCTGGAGGACAGAGCAAGATGGTCAGTGAGCTACGAGTTCAGACAGTCTGGCCACAACCACTGAAGGGCCTTCCTGGGCACCCCCTGTGCGTGCAGACCGCTCACCTGGAGCCTGTCAGCAGGTGACCCTGCTACTTGGCCCTGAGCTCTTCTTACCGCCCCACCCTCCACTGTCCCTGACACACACACACACACACACACACACACACACGCACACACTCACACATACATGCGCTCATGTTTACAGCTCTCCCAAGCCTGCCAGAATATAGAGAAGAGAATGTTTCAGATTGTAAGGCTTGGGCGTGGGAGGACGAGGGTCCCCCTTGTCTCAAACCGCAGCCACAGACGTATGGATGCGCCCACCGCCTCCCCCTGTGGGGAAGACTCCGAGGAGCAGCAGGGGCCGAAGCTTTCAGAAGGCGGGGACACAAACTGCGGCGGCGGCAGGAACTCTGCTCCTCGACTGGGAAGGGGGGAGGCGACAGCCCCACAGCCCTCCCGGGAGGGCACGCTGTGGATCCCAGGAATCACTGCACCCTGGGGCCCCATGAAGCCAAACGACCCCGCGTGTCTTGGGCACAAACTCTGAGCCTCAGCAGGGATGATCAGGGGTGCGGACCAAATCTGTGATTCACAACTGAAATGACTGGGGCGAATCACAACTCCAATGACTAGGGCGTGGGCTCTCCCATCCCAGACCTCCATGGCACACACAGATACAGGGGCCCAGGCTGTGAGCTTGCCGGTGACGTCCAGCTGGGCGGCTCTCCTTGAGGTCCCAGGCGGGTGTGGAGGAGAAAGAGCCCGGCGTCCCACGAAGGCTGGGCAGCAGCCCCGCCGTCACTCACCATTGGAACTGATGGTCCCATCCTCATACTTCTTGGCCAGCGCCAGGTCCACGAAGTCTCTGGGAGAAATGAGCTTCATGGCGGCCGAGGGGGTGGTCGTTCGGCAGATGCACAGTGTCTGTCACAGCAAAGGGGAGTCCAGCTGCCTCTGAGGGTCAGCCAGTGCCTCCCGCCCTGAGTCTGCTCTGAGCTCATCAACCCCTTCCCACACCCCAGGGTCTGGAAAATGGGAATAGCACTGATGGCAGAGCAGGGTGGCGCTGTGACCTGCAGGGTCCAGGGTGAGCTCCCCTGAAGTGCCAAGGGGCACGAGAATACACCCAATTTGTAAAATCTAGGGTTGTGACCCGGGCTGCCCAGGGCTGATCAGGGCCCCTCTGAGCTTATTCCCCAAGAGGTCCTAGAGTTGTCACTGACTGAGCATCTAGCTCAGCTGGCTGGACAAAGCACTCAGTGGTCACTCACAACTCTGAGAAATAGGTATCATTAATCCATTTGACAGGTGAGGAAACTGAGGCTTGGAGAAAGAATTCACCACAAAGCTCATGGGGGTGATGAGACTTGAACAGGGACTAGGATGAGGCGAGAGGCCATTCCTTTCTAAGGCTGACCCTGCACCTGCCTATCCCTGATGGCAGTGCCTCCTTAAATGTGTGTTTCTGGTTTCCCGTGGTTCCAGCCCCAGGAGGGAGCATCCTTTGAGTTTCACCCAGGCTCAGGGTATCCCACCAAGTCCATTCTCCCACTTTACAAGCCAAGGGCCCTCCAAACCCACCCCATGTTTCACCCCACTATTCCGCTCCACCAGCAGGACCCCGCCCTTTCAAGGTCACAAGTTCAGGTCAGGCCCAAGGACGGGAGCCTTGAGAGCGCTGGCGGGACTGGAGAAGATCGCTCCCCCTGTGTCTCTGCCCTCTCAGTGTTTAGATTCAGGGCACCGTGTGTTGTTGAGAAGCCTCTGACCTCAGGGTCTGAGTCTTCTAGGTGAGCATGAGATTGAGGACCTTCCAGTAGGCGCCCCGGGAATCGGTTTCCAGACGCCTCAACCTCCCTGGGTCCTTCTTCCTAAAATAACCGGCCTGAGAACGGGCTGCGCCTTCGAGCTGGCTTTCCTTTCCCACTTGCCGAAAGGTGCCCCCTACCCCGCCTACCTGGGATCTTCCAGTCACGCACTGCCCTGGGGTGAAAGGGCCCCAGGGGCCAGAGGGACACCTGCCGATGCTGATTTCAGTGTCTAACCACGGCTCTGCACATGGGAGTTGGAGTCTCCTGTTTCCCCATCTCCTACAGCATATTCTTTTTAAAGGCCAATGCGTGCTGCTAGAGACAAGGTAATTCTGCCTTTTCTGAATTCCGATATTTTGTAGTAGGAATGGCAGAAGTGACGAGACTTAAAAAAAACCAAAAAACTATAGAGCCTCCACTCCTGACTGCTGTTACAAATGCATCAATCCCAAAGACAGTGTCTGGAGAACACGATGAAGAGGACACGGGTGAGAACGGCGGAAGGCGGCAGCACGTGTTACAAATGCAATAAACTTGTAACGTGGCTGTCTCCCCTCCATCCACCCATCCTTCCATCCACCTGTCCATCTGTCCATGATCTACCTTACAATATTTGAGATTTGTCAAAATCATCCTGTTAAATGCCAATCTGCAAGGAAGGGCCCTTTCTCTGCATTTTCATTGTTTCACTAAATGACAAAAAGCTACCACTTGGTTGCTGCTTCTCTGCTTTTCAGAAACCTGAGCCTACCAGCAGCCTGTGTTCTCTTTTCTTTTTGCAGTTAACGTCTATTGAAGGCTGAGTCTTTCTAGCAATGTTGTATCTTTTCATGGTCACATGAATTAATTAGAACAAAGACCTCCCATTCACCTCATTAGAGATGGACACTATTTTACTTTTTATGTTGAACGGTCCTTCAATAGTTGTAATATAGTCATATTATTTTAATAAATTACAATCATATGTCAATTCAGATTTTTTTCAACACTTTAGAGCCTGATGGTCACAGGCAGTACATTTTTAAAAAATTTTAATTTCAGTTTATATATATATTTATGATGTAGGATGATGACTTTCAAGAATAAATCTATTAGGATAAAATTCAGGAGGATACATGAGATAGAAACTTGAGTTCAAGGATGTAGGTCACAGCGAAAAAAAAATGTAAGAATGAATATGGGTATGTATGTATGTATATTCATGTATAACTGAAAAATTGTGCTCTACACTGGAATTTGACACAACAATGTAAAATGACTATAACTCAATAAAAAAAGTAAAATAAATAAATAAATAAATAAATAACAAAAAATCATATTATTTCCAAAAAGGGAAAAAAATTTTTAGAGTTCAAGGAAAAAAACGATATAAAATTTCTGAGTAAGGAAAATTTGTCTTTTTAAAATGGCTGGTGATAAATACAAATTTATCTTATTTCAATATGTCTAAAAGAATGATGTCATTGGTTCAAAATTGTCAAATTTATCACACATTAGAAATGACATGCTTTGTAATTTATGATGAAAATTTTAGATGTCAACTAAGTGTTAGATGTCAGCTAGATGTGTGGGGATGACACATAATTTCTCAAAAATCTGTTGGAGGTATGCAAGCAAAAAGTCTGATGACCATTGCACTGGAGGACTGAGGGGTCAGACAGGGTATGGCGGGGTTGGGGCGGTGCAGGGAGGGGGAGTCACTGCTTCCTGCTAACATGGGCTCCGCCTTCAGGGAAGTGGGTGCCAGGGATGGAGGGTTCTGTGCAGCTTGGTTCAGCGGCCCCAGCCAGACAGGGAAGCAGGCATGCTCCCCAAGGGATGACCAGGGTGCTCAGAGGAGAGGGACCCTGGCAGCATCACCGACCAAATTCCACAGTGTGCACAGAAGTAGAATTCAGCACAGGTGATCCATGACCCTAGCAGGCTCGGGAAAGGGCAGTGGTTAGGTGGTTACACAGGAACAGTGAGGAAAACACATTGCCAGGGGATCAGGTTAGCAGGACCCGGGGGTGACTAAGAGGTCAGGAGCCATCAGCCGGCTCTGCCACTTGTTACCTGGGTGAACTTGGGTGCATCTCTTTACTTCTGTGAAACTGTGTCCTTCTCGCAGGGATTCAGCTGAAATGCTCTGAGCACGTGGCAGAGTATAAAAGGACTCGATAAATGGCAGCACTTAGCATTTTAATCATTATTACGGCAGCTTAAGATTTTCCCTGTAATTTCCTAGGCCTTTCATTTTTTCTCGTGTCCTACCACTCACTGTGCGAAGATAGAGTATCTAAACACACTAAAAAAATGCAGCCACTTTTATCTTCAGAAAGAAAATTCTATATACGGGCATTCTGTCATTACAATTCTATTATGTTTTGAAGGACATGAACTCGTGTTTCCTTAACTTCAAGCATTTGTGTATCATTATTTATTTACTACTGTCACAATTTTTTCCCTATCTCTATCTCTGGTAGCACCTATCCTATTATTCACTTAATATTTTTATCTAAATGTGCTTACTTTTTAAAACTTAGGTTTATTTTTAAAAGGAAGCTATTTAACAACTGAAAATGAAAAAATAAGTATCGTTTGGCATAAATAAAAGGCAATTGCAAAATATATATACAAGGGATGGTTGGATTTAAATTCTAATTCTGAGCCTAAGGCCAGCTGTCTGTTCTGTGATAAAGGAGATTGGCAAGGGTTAAACAGGTGTCAAAGGCACACGAGCACCTGACTGAGACGTTCCCCTTCACGTTATCAGGGAGGCTGAAGGAGAACTGAAGTGGGCTGACCTCACTGCGTGAGATGCCATTCCAGTTTGACTGTTAAAGACCTACTATCGCCTTGTGCCCCCACATTATTTGCCCCGCCCTTCAAGAAACACTGACATAAACTCTTGTGATAACGAACTGAAATGTGAGTTCTTGGTCAAGGCTAAAAACACCTGGGTCCTGCTGAGTGACCGGCCAGCAAAGAACTCTGGCTTGAGGTTTCACAACACCATCTATGGAAACGCCCAGGAGGGTGTCGTATCCATGGATGCCAAAATCAAGAAAATGTTCAAATCAAAAAGGCCAGCAAATTGTCTGAACTTACAAAAATCCACAGAATCAAAAAAAAAAATAGGCCAGCAACATTTCCCCAAGGCAACTTTTTAATTCATTTTGGCTACGTCTCTCTCTTTTTTTTCCCCCTCAACTCCTCTAAGCAAAATGAGGTGGATTCTTAACAGTACAGGGGATCCCAGGACAGGACCATCTAGATCTGTGCTGTCCATTATGGTTGCCACCAGTTCCGCGTGGCTATTTAAGATTACATGGAGAGTCATGATACTTAAATAAAATTAACAATTTATTTCTTCAAACTAGGCACCTTTCAAATGCTCTGTGGCCACGGCGGGCCCAGGGCTACTGTACTAAACAGCGCTGTGGTAGCATATTCCCATCACCGCAGAAAGCTCTGCTGGGCAGCACCAGACCAGCCACCACACATTTTTACCAACGGAGAAGCTGTCATGTAGAGGCTGCCCCCTGGCACAGCCCCACAGCGGCACAGAAGCCTGACTCTCTGGCCAGGACTCAGTTCATTACCATGGTCGCATCCTGTCAAGGGACAGTATTTCAAACTTGTGCTGATGCATCCAATCCAGGCATTGCGGCATGCTCAGAGTGCACCCCGAGTTCACACTCACTCTGCACTCCTGCCTTCATCAGCTGCTGCGATGTTCTCTCAGCTGTGTCGCGGGCACCTCTACCCCTCTAAGCCTCACTGCTTCCTACCTGTACCTGGGCTGAGGCTGGGCTCGAGTGTCAAGCAGTGGGCGGCTTGTGCCTGCTGGGTGCTGGGGGCTTGCCGTGTACCCCCTTTGCCTAAAGGTGTCACTGACCCCCTGTAGAGGGGACAGAGTCAGGTTACTGTCTAAGAATAACAGTGCTCGGAAAGACTTACATCAGTGATGCTTTCGATAATTTCAAAACCGGCCACATTCTCATCCCATTTATCTCGGAGGGTCCCAGCCAATGGCTTCACGCAGTCCCACACCTGCTCTGGTGTCCCATTCACGATGCCTTCTCCCCGGTACCTGGAGCACAAAAGAGGAATGTGACCCAAGGCATCAATCAAGTTTGTTAATCCTGGGCTTGCATACAAGGACTAGAAGCCACGTCTGTCATCGCTCTTCCAGACAGCCTTGCAGAGAAGGGGCTGAAGTGTACCAGCCCACCTCCCCTCAGGCTGGCAGAAATGGACAGAAGGAAAGCTTTCACAAGAATACAGTTCGAGGAAACGATTTAGCTAAACACGGAAGCTTTTCTGGAAGATAACTGGCAAGTTGATTCCAGGTGCTAGGGCCGATTAGCGTCTCAGGAAGAAAACCCACAGAAACATCAGGAAAGGTGGGGCACCTGACAAGCTTCGAACAAGACATGCACTTACAGGTTCCCTGGAAACTCCACAGACGGCCTCCAGGAAACTGAAACTCCGTTCTGTCAAAAGGCACAGAATCGCAGACTTTTAGCGCTGGAAGGGCCCTGGAAGATCACGTGGCCCGACCCCTGTTCTTTGGAAGAGAAGTCGAGTCTCCAGATGCGACTCTCCAAGGTGACCCACCTGATATGCGGCAGAGTCGGGGCCAGTCCTGGATAAAGCTGCCCTGCAGGAGCACGTGGTGGGCAAAGGGGTCTGAAGTGGCTGACTCTAGGAGCACTGGCGAGTTTTCAAACCACCTTAAAAGCTACCACGCGTCTTGTTTCCTCGAGCAGTTTAGGTCTGCTGGTTAAAAACCCCAAGCGTCTGGTGAGCAGCATATCCCCTGGCCAGGGAACTCAGAGAGGGGCTCACGCCCCGAGGAACGAGTAAATGCTTTGGAGCCCGGTAATTCTGGCTCCAGCCAGGTGACCTTGGCCAAATCTTTGAATGAAAGGGACAGATACTTACCTCCCGGGGTCACTGTGCACACAACAGGCCCGATATATCTTTTTAAAGTAAACAATCGCCAGTGGAGTCTCCTCCACAATCCAGCCCTGGGGGACTGGAGTGCAGAAAACCTCTGGGAGAGGAGGAGCCTGGGGGTTTCTGGGACCCCGGCCCCAAGGAGCAAAGGCCCCTCGACCCCTTCCCGCCCAGCTCCTCACTCACGCCTTCCCGGCAAATCTTCCAGCCTGACTTGTCTCGCCGGTACTGAAGCATCTTCTCCGCCACCGCCTCGCTTATCTGTGCGGCCAGCGCCGGGTCCATTGCGCCGAAAGCTGCACGAGGCTCCGGGGTCGCCGGTGTGGTGAGCGGTGGCGGAGGCCGGGGACTAGGATCGGGGAAGCCGGAAAGCAGGGACCCGGAGCCGAGCCCGGAGCCCCGCCCCCGCCCTCGGTTTGGTCCCAGGCCGTCGGACGGGTCCCGCCCCGCTCTGAGATTGGCAGAGCCGGAGATCGCCCGACCCCTCCC